AAATGCATCAAAGTGTTATTGAATTGGGACATACCCCCTAGAGCACATCAAAGCTGCCTGCGGGATGCAGGAGCCGGTGGGGTTGGGAGGTGAGGAGCTCAATCCAGCACCTTCTGAAGGGCTGGATCAGGCCCAAAGGAGCTGGTTCTCTGACCTACATGCTGCAAACCCCGCGGGCTCCCAGCACGGCTCTGCAGGGGTATCATCTGTCACGGCTCCAGAGCAGGAGGATCCCCAAAGCATGAAGATCAGCAATATTGGCTGAAAACTAACGCGCTGTGCAGAAAGGCAAAAGCTTTTTTGGAGCCTCCCCTTGTCCCAGAGGATGTAGGACAAAGGACTTTTTTTCCCCAGAGGGGGGGAAAGAACTCAATGGCAACCATTCCTGTTTCCACCATGACCTCAAGAGGTATAGAGGGAGTAGAACTGGGGGGTCTCTTCTACAGCATAAACCAATCCAGCAGGAATAACCCATGGATGAAAAGGCTCCATGGTGCAAAGGGGAGAGCTAAAAGCAGGGAAAGGGTTAATGCTGCAGCCAGAAAGATGCTGGACTGGTAGAAAAAAGGAAAAAAAAAAGAAGCCAACGGGTCTGTGTCCATTTTCTGCAGCGCCCAGAGCCCGGCCCTTTCTCCCTGGGTAATCAACTGGAAGTGAGCGGAGCCGGAGTAATCACTGCACCTCATTCCCCATCCCCGACGCTGCCGGCAGGACCAGGAGATGGAGAAGCCCCACCTGGCCCAAGGCAGGTCAACACAAGCCCGTCGTCGAGCCTTTGTGCTCCACCAGCAGCTCGGAAGAGCAGGTGAAGGCTCAAGGATGAAGATACCAGCAAATCAACGGTGCCTGAGCGTGCCCCATGGCACCACGACATGATGGACACCTTTCTATGGGGTGAAACCCTCCTGGCAGGCATGGAAGGGGTTTTACCTCCGGGTATCTGCTGAGAAAGGAGTTGACACCTCTAGAAAGTAGTGAGGAGGAGGAGGAAGAGGGAAAGAGCCTGATCCCAGCCTTCAAGGCACAGCTGCATCCTTCTCATTCTCCCCACGTTATCCTGCTGCCGCCCTGCCCGGACTTAAGCATCAGCAGAGGGATCCTGGCACCTCTGGAGCGGCCAAAATTATCCAGTAACGAAGGCACAAGCGTGAGCAGATGATTTAGAGGATGCACCCATTCTCAGGATCATCATACCCCAGCACAAACGCTGCCTAAATCTCCTCTTGGGATCCGATCCAAAGCCTTCTTAAAGCATCGATGCTTTGTTATTAATCTGCGCAGCGACCAGCGAAGGGAGAGCTGGATTATTTATTTATTTATTTCTTTTCTGAGGCGTAATCAAAGACCAAAATTATCTCGGGGACATGGCTGGGCTTCATCTGCTTCATGCCTGGTCTGGTGGGGAGACCCGCTCAGCTAACACGGCCATTCTGGACTAGAGAGTCCTGGCTTCCTACCTGGCCAAGCCCCAAATCCTCTTTATATCATGGTCAGACACGTTAGGAGAGAGGTGACATGCCCTAATTTACACTCTCCTACCCTCCTCCGAGGGGATGCAGTTGCAGAACCTCTAGATAAGCCTCCCAAACTCAACTGAATGAATTTGTCCCCCCCCAACACCGTCCTCCAGTTTACAGAGCTCTTCTGCCTCCCTGGTGCTCATCCCCTGGGTGTATTTATGGCCAGCGAGCGCATCCTCTCTCTGCCTTTGTCTCGTTGGGCTATAATTTTATAGCCTCCCGTATAACAGCTCTCCATCCCTATGCTCAGCCTCGGAGCCTTCTCCTCCTGCACCTGCTCCAGGCTGAGTTAATCCCTCTCAAGCACCAGCTCCCCATCCCTCCACGTTAACTCTTCCATACCCTCGTCCCACCAACGCTCCCAGAGGGCACCCATGGCCAAAACAGCCCCAGTCTCGGCCGTTCCAACATGATTCAACCTCCAAAAGCAGCACAGAGCCCAGCCATAGGGCACCCCACTGTATGGCCTGATATATAGAATGATAAGAGTTGGAAGGGACCTTAAAGATCATCGAGTTCCAACCCCCCTGCCATGGGCAGGGACACATGCCTTGGGGACATCCCCACACCCTGCTCCTCATCCTCGAGGTCAGCCAGGTCCCTCTGGCCAAGCATCTCATCATCCCCCTGCTCATCAGCTTGGTTTTGCGGGCAAATCTTGGCATGAAACAGGAGAATGAGCTCAGATCTTCCCTTAACTTAAGCAGATTTAAGCTCTCCTGCATGGGGTTAATGTGTCTGGTGGTGCCCTTTGCCACCTCCCCTAGTCCCCAGCAGAAGTCTTCTCCACTGATGTACTCCCCCATGGCACTAAGTGTTCAAAGCCCCCAGATAAAGTCTTTATCAAGTCCAGACAAAGGAGCCTTCCCTGGAGATATTCAAGGAGAGGCTCGACGAGGCCCTGGGCAACCTGGTCTAGTTGGGGGTGTCCCTGCTGACTGTGGGGAGGTCAGACTAGATGACCTTTGGAGGTCCCTTCCGGCCTGGACAACTCTATGACTCTATGAGACCCGTAGCATCTTCTTCACCCAAAAAACGAGATCAAAGCTACAGGTGGATCCCACACAGCCCCCTTTGGTACCAGCCCTGGCTTTCCACCTCCTTCCACCTTGGGGGCTTGAGGATGCCCAAGGTAGTTCTCCATGGGCATCCATCACCCCCTGAGGGAGCTCCCTTGAACAGACAACGCAGCCGGGGAGACAAGAGCCGAGCAGAGATTTCACTGGGCTCGTGGCCACGTCGAGGCCCCACCTAAGTCATTTCTTGCCAGAACAGGCAAGGACGGGAGGCTGGTGGCAGAGGGTTGGATTTGACTTTGCCACCAAGCTCCTGAGCACCTCGGTCATGTCACTTCGTCCCTTTTTCATAGGTCACCACCTTGCAGACAGAATTACGGCTTCCACGTGTTAAAAAGAGCATCCCTGGGACATGATGAAGGGGTTTGACTTCTGCTCTGGGCAGGACCTGCTGCAGCAAGCCCCGCTGCCTTCCTCAAAACCTGCTTTTCCTTTCCCTAATGCCTTGATGCCTCAACGCTGCTGCCAAGGAGAAAGTTTGTTTTTTTTTCCCCGACCAATTCTGGCACATGGCTCCTGGCAAGCACCAGACGTGGAGCCAGCCAGTCCCCCCATACACACAGTGTGTTTGTGTACACACACACCCATCACTGGGGCTCTGGGGGGGGTGTGGGGGTGGATTTAGACCTCAAATCCAGCTCCCAAGGGGTGGAAGGTTCTCTCAAAGAGCATCCATCAGCCCCTCTTGGGTTTTACAACCCTGCTGCCCAGCTGGAGCTGAACCCCAGGTGACTCATGTTAAAAAATTACTTAAATAGGAGGCAGCTGATGTTCCTGGGAAGAGGGGGGAGGGAAATAAATTGCACCAGGAGAGAGGTGCCCATAGCAAGATGTTGCACTGAGTAAGAGCTAAGTGGTGAGCACCCACATCAGGCCCTGCTCCTCCATCCATGCCTGCTTTCCCCCCCCCCTCCCTGGTTCTTGCAGCCCCAAGGATGCTCCCAGCAGGTGACACCCCCTCTCTCCTGCATCCCTAAGCCTGTCCCTCCTCCAGTCACTGCTACCCCGAGCAGCAGGGCTCAAAGCCAGGCTCTCTGCATCTCCCACCACCCATGTGCAGAGCTGCGGGGCCCGAGGTGCAGCCTCAGGGACCCTCTGTGTTGCCCTCACCACCAGTATAACACCAGTTGGGCACACCTGAGCATGGAAAGGGGCACCCAAGCCCCAGAAGATGTGAGGGTGGATGGAGATGAAAGGTGCCCCAGGGGAAAGTCTGCAGCACGGTCCTTTGCTGGATGCAGCAAGAAAAGCAGCTGAGGATGGAAGAGCATCCTCCGCTCCCCCGCTCCCCCGCCGTGCTGGCTGCCTCTCTTTCCTCTCCCCCCTGCTCCCCACCAAGCCCACAGCTAATGCAGCTAATTCCAGGCAGAAACGTAACGGTAATTAGTAATAAACAGTCGGTAATCAATCCACGCGTGGCAGGGGGGTGGGTGTGCAGGGCCAGGAGAGCAGCCTGAGCTCCACCTGGCAGCTACTGGCACGGGAGAAAGGACCAGAGCCACTTCTGATGGGACACCCTCTGCTAGAAAGCACCAGGCTGGTTTCTCAGGTCCAAAATAACCTTTTTTCAGGGCTGGGAGAAAAGGATGGTTCCTCCCACCCTCGGGATACGGGAAATCCAGATTCATAGCCCTGCCTGGACACCCAAAAAGCCATCAGCCCCGGGGGCAGGAGCTCTCTCTCTCTCTCTCTATCCTCAACTTTCCGTCCGACTTACTAAAAGCCCTTGGGCTTGTCCCAAAAAAACAGAACAAAGAACAACACTGAAACCTCCGATTATTTTTTTTTTTCTTCCCGGCACAGAAATCCTGCTCTCCAGCCTCTCCGAGGCCTCCCTGCTCAAAGTTTCTCCCCAGCTTGGCTCCACCGAGCAGAAACAACCCAGATTGGGAGCAGCTGCGGGAGGGTTTTAACCAACCAGGGGGTGACTTTCAGATGCAGCAGCCCCCAGCACCCCGACTTCCAGCATCCCCCCCCCCAAAAAAAACTACA